AATAAGAAATGTTTCTTGAGCACCAAATAAGCATGAATAAGATTCCTCTTTTTTCCGTCTACTTCACCAGGAATAGCTGCACTTCCAGCCTCCACAGCTCTTGGGCCCCTGACGGGTTCCCCCATTCTCATGGCCCCCAGCAGCCTAAACACTCCAGTGCCTGCAGCCACGGGGGCCGCTCAGTGACCTGTCAGTCCTGTCACACCAAACCTGCTGAGGATCTCTGGGACTGTTGTTAGATAGAGCTCCTCAGCACCACAACCCCTCAGTTTACCTGGCAGTGCAGCATGAGTTTATCTGAAACTGCATGCACTTCATCATGAGATGTTCACCTTCATGCATTTACCTCAGGCAGAAGTGTGCAGGATGTGTTTGAGAGCTTATTCACAGAAAGAGAATCGTCCTGTGTGGTATTACATACATTGTCCTGCCATTAAACAGCTTAGCTGGACTATTGATGGACTACAGATGGACTATTTCTTGGAGCAAGTGAAGCCCGCGGTAGCACAGTATTTCTGTCAGCAGTCAATGAGCAAATCCTCTCTCAAATGTGAAATGATACTGCCGTTATACAGCTGTGGCCGTAGTTCGGAGTGTGTATTGGTGCTGTTTACTGTAGCTCACATCAGGTCACACCAATCGCCTCGACTCAACACACAGCAGTGTCTTTAACTCCTCTCACTGTGGACGTCCCGTATAAATGGCAATGCTGTGGCATTTTTTTTTTTATAAATACAGCAATCCATAACTTCTGCATACCCATAATCCAGTAATAAAGAATCATTGCTGATCCAGTCTTTGTATTCAGTTCATTTGACTGAACCAAAATTAACAGTGTGGCTATGGAAATATACCAACAGTTTTTAATAGACAAACAATTCTGATGGGTTGCAAATAAAGAAATATATTTATAAGATTTAAATATCATATTTTTTAAATTCATGCAAAGCAATGATAGTGTTTATAAATATGATGTATTTCATAAGGGGTTTTATTTTGCACTGTGCCCTACTTTTCTGAGTGCATTGTTTTTTTTTCATTGAGCTGCATAGAAGTACATATCAATTTCAGAAATTTCATTTATTAAAAAATCTACATGAAAAATGTAAGACGTTCCTAACATTTCTCTATATCTCTGTTTATTTGTTCTGTGTGCAATTCCACAGCTCATCACATATCGTTTAAACAATGTTTTAATCATTTAAATTGTAAATTTTTTATGTGCTCTGACACATAGATTTTGTCACACACTGCAAAAGCCATAAAATAAGAGTCAAGTATGTATACTTAGTCCAAATTATAATTACAAAAGTATTTCATGATTTCATAAAGATTTATCACTAGTAAATATCACATGCATGTGAACCAACCATGTGAATCATATAGCTCCTACAAAAGAGAAAACAAAGATAGATAGCCATTATCATTAAAACGTTGAACAATATTATCCAGTGAACAAATTGATCCGTATTGATGGTCAGCAGAGGCATTTCATAACTTTCTGCTTCATGTCATGTTGTTGTGCTTGTCAAGTGAACTCTCTGATACCCTGGGGAGAAATGTCTTCTTTGGAAAATATTGCAGAATTCCTTTCTGTGAATAAATCCAAAAGAAAGAACAGATTTTGAGTAATGCATTGACTAGATGTTGTCAGATATTGCTGAACTGCATCAAGCACAAGTCAGAGTCCATTACTATTCCAGTTCCTTCCGACCAAATTGCTTTACTCCAACGGAAAAACGTGCTTTTCTGGTCACAGCAGCGAATATGTTTTTGTACCGTGTCTGAGACAGTTCTCTGTCAATTTTATGAAGAGATTTTCCTTTGGTTTCTGGTAGTACAAGGTAGATGAACACAACTGCTGCCATTCCAATAACTCCATACACAAAGAATATTCCAGATAGACCTATCACATCTGAGAAGAATGAAAAATGTCATTGAAATATGCTGAAAATTATTTGCAAATACATTTCATATAATGACGACTGACTTTGTGTGTGGCCGTGGTCGTTGTGCATACCTGTTATACTCAAGAAAGAAAAGGTAACTATGAGGTTGGCCCCCACATTGAAGCAGTTGATGAATGAATAGGCTCTTCTCCTGACTTCCTTTGGAAATATCTCACTTAGCACAAGCCATGTCACTGTGAACCAAATATGCTATTAGTACTAGCTGTTGTGTGGCATCAAATACTGGTAGATGAAGGAATTTCTGTGCCAATAGGCGCACCAAGCAGCTATTTGCATCGCTGTTTAACTGTATACTCAAACTGATAGACAATTTTGGTTGGTGCTGTCAGTGACGCTACATTTTTAACGTAGAGTAAATGTATGGTACTACTCCAAGAAAACTTACTTGGTCCAAAGCTGACTGAGAAGGCACTCACAACTGTCATCATGCAGATAAAAATAATCCACTTATACATGTCCTCTGAGTGTGAAGAAATATTTGAATCTCCGTAAGCATCATGTGTTTCACGTCCAGCAGATGGAGTACTTTGATTGACCAAGTTGATGCCCACGTTTTCTTGATTTTCAGCCAGTGAGGTCAAATTTGAATGTGGTTCTAATGAAGTGCACCGTTTTGTTGTATCAATCACGGACTGTCCGCACAAGACACGGAGTATCAATCCTATAGCCAGCACTGTGCATCCCCCAATCAGAAGTGATCTTCGACCAACCTTGTCTGAACATACCATTGCCAACAGAGTAGCAATGACTTTGACTATACCCAGACCCACCGCCGCAAGAACTGCAGATGCATTGCTCTGAAATCCCACAGAGAAAAGGATGGTGGAAGCGTAGAAGAGGACATTAGGCTGACCTGTGAATTGTTGACTGAGCACCAGCCCAAGACCAATGGCGGTTCTTCTGCACATGTTGTCTTTGGTTTTGAAAAGGTCAAAGACACTATATTAAACTTGTTAATGGCAATGCTGTGGCATTTTTTTTTTTATAAATACAGCAATCCATAACTTCTGCATACCCATAATCCAGTAATAAAGAATCATTGCTGATCCAGTCTTTGTATTCAGTTCATTTGACTGAACCAAAATTAACAGTGTGGCTATGGAAATATACCAACAGTTTTTAATAGACAAACAATTCTGATGGGTTGCAAATAAAGAAATATATTTATAAGATTTAAATATCATATTTTTTAAATTCATGCAAAGCAATGATAGTGTTTATAAATATGATGTATTTCATAAGGGGTTTTATTTTGCACTGTGCCCTACTTTTCTGAGTGCATTGTTTTTTTTTCATTGAGCTGCATAGAAGTACATATCAATTTCAGAAATTTCATTTATTAAAAAATCTACATGAAAAATGTAAGACGTTCCTAACATTTCTCTATATCTCTGTTTATTTGTTCTGTGTGCAATTCCACAGCTCATCACATATCGTTTAAACAATGTTTTAATCATTTAAATTGTAAATTTTTTATGTGCTCTGACACATAGATTTTGTCACACACTGCAAAAGCCATAAAATAAGAGTCAAGTATGTATACTTAGTCCAAATTATAATTACAAAAGTATTTCATGATTTCATAAAGATTTATCACTAGTAAATATCACATGCATGTGAACCAACCATGTGAATCATATAGCTCCTACAAAAGAGAAAACAAAGATAGATAGCCATTATCATTAAAACGTTGAACAATATTATCCAGTGAACAAATTGATCCGTATTGATGGTCAGCAGAGGCATTTCATAACTTTCTGCTTCATGTCATGTTGTTGTGCTTGTCAAGTGAACTCTCTGATACCCTGGGGAGAAATGTCTTCTTTGGAAAATATTGCAGAATTCCTTTCTGTGAATAAATCCAAAAGAAAGAACAGATTTTGAGTAATGCATTGACTAGATGTTGTCAGATATTGCTGAACTGCATCAAGCACAAGTCAGAGTCCATTACTATTCCAGTTCCTTCCGACCAAATTGCTTTACTCCAACGGAAAAACGTGCTTTTCTGGTCACAGCAGCGAATATGTTTTTGTACCGTGTCTGAGACAGTTCTCTGTCAATTTTATGAAGAGATTTTCCTTTGGTTTCTGGTAGTACAAGGTAGATGAACACAACTGCTGCCATTCCAATAACTCCATACACAAAGAATATTCCAGATAGACCTATCACATCTGAGAAGAATGAAAAATGTCATTGAAATATGCTGAAAATTATTTGCAAATACATTTCATATAATGACGACTGACTTTGTGTGTGGCCGTGGTCGTTGTGCATACCTGTTATACTCAAGAAAGAAAAGGTAACTATGAGGTTGGCCCCCACATTGAAGCAGTTGATGAATGAATAGGCTCTTCTCCTGACTTCCTTTGGAAATATCTCACTTAGCACAAGCCATGTCACTGTGAACCAAATATGCTATTAGTACTAGCTGTTGTGTGGCATCAAATACTGGTAGATGAAGGAATTTCTGTGCCAATAGGCGCACCAAGCAGCTATTTGCATCGCTGTTTAACTGTATACTCAAACTGATAGACAATTTTGGTTGGTGCTGTCAGTGACGCTACATTTTTAACGTAGAGTAAATGTATGGTACTACTCCAAGAAAACTTACTTGGTCCAAAGCTGACTGAGAAGGCACTCACAACTGTCATCATGCAGATAAAAATAATCCACTTATGAGTGTGAAGAAATATTTGAATCTCCGTAAGCATCATGTGTTTCACGTCCAGCAGATGGAGTACTTTGATTGACCAAGTTGATGCCCACGTTTTCTTGATTTTCAGCCAGTGAGGTCAAATTTGAATGTGGTTCTAATGAAGTGCACCGTTTTGTTGTATCAATCACGGACTGTCCGCACAAGACACGGAGTATCAATCCTATAGCCAGCACTGTGCATCCCCCAATCAGAAGTGATCTTCGACCAACCTTGTCTGAACATACCATTGCCAACAGAGTAGCAATGACTTTGACTATACCCAGACCCACCGCCGCAAGAACTGCAGATGCATTGCTCTGAAATCCCACAGAGAAAAGGATGGTGGAAGCGTAGAAGAGGACATTAGGCTGACCTGTGAATTGTTGACTGAGCACCAGCCCAAGACCAATGGCGGTTCTTCTGCACATGTTGTCTTTGGTTTTGAAAAGGTCAAAGACACTATATTAAACTTGTTCTGTTGGGTGTGGATTCGACATTTCCCCTGCTAATCTATCAGATTGCTGGCTATCGTCCTCTGTTACGAGGCCTTCAGAGGTACCGGTTGTCTGAGGTAAAAACCCAATGGACACCAACTGCATGAGAGATGGTATAATAGCAAGTCAAAACATGTACCTCAATCCTGCTTGGACACCAGATAAAACATAGTTGAGTGCATAGGCCAACAAGTTCCCAACTGTAATTCCAACTTCGTACAGGGTAAGCATCAACCCTCTGCGTTCGGGAGCAACCATCTCAGAGACAAAGATGCAGCAGCTCATGGAAGAAATGCTCATTGCAAAACCAACACTCTAAAAAATGCTGAGCTAAATATAAGCCAGCTATTGGGTTGTTTTGTAAAAAATGCTGGGTTAAATATAACCCAGCTATTGGGTTGTTTTGAACCCAACCGCTGGGCCAAAACAACCCAAACGCTGGGTCAAAACAACCCAATAGCTGGGTTTGTCCCTTTTTAACCCAGCGCTGGGTTATATTTAACCCAGCATTTTTTAGAGTGAAAGATGGCCCTACCAACCAACAGTGCCAAAAAAGAGATGCTTGTAGTCAGGATAATGGTGCCTCCCAGGATGAGGAGATTACTCAGTAAAATGGATGTCCTCCTGCCATGACGATCAATCAGCCAGCCACCAATCACAGATGCTGACAATGATCCGATCAGAAGAGCGCTAACCACGGCTTCCTGCTGGACACAACCCAGATAGAACTGAGCTTGAAGCTGCGGCAGAGCGCCGGATATTATTCCAAGCTCATAGCCGAACACTAGGCCACCAAGAGTGGACGCAATGATAGTGAGCACCAGGACAGAGCGACCTAGAAAAGAGAAAGTAGCACACAAATAACACAGAAGATAACTTTGCAGCTGGGATGGCCTGCTCATATGCTCTTAAAACATAAAGGTTCCTTATTAGAGTGCATAATTCATTCATTCATTAGCATCGATGATTCCATGAAGAACCTTTAACATCCATGGAACCTTCACTGCACAAAAGGTTCTTCAGATTATTGAAATATTATTCACACTAAAAATGTTTTTTTAAGAACTGCTAACAGAAAGGTTCTTTGTGGAACCCAAATGGTTCTTCTATTGCATTGCTACAAAACCCCCCTTTTGAACCTTTATTTTTAATAAGAGTATACGGTGGGTGAACCAGGACTTTTCTTGGTGTTCTGACCTGCTCAGGATCCAGAGCAGGTTAAAAAGGTCATATATAACATTACAAGATGTACTACCATCCAATAAATGTGTTAAAAATGTAAGTAGCACCTCTCCTTGGGCACCGGGATGTGCTGCCACCATGGGTAGCATATTTTTACGAGGCTGGACTAACCTACAACCCTAACTTCACTCCTAATATAGTGAGGGTAGATCATCCTGATAGATAGGTCAGATTTCCAGAACACTCGTCAACTTAAAACTATACAAATGGTTCAAAAGTAGAAAAGTCATATTTCAGAAGGTTATCTTAAAATACAAGAAATAGAAAACATCATAAGGCCATAAACTCTGAACTGCATATTATAATTATACATGTTGTTCTAGATCAAGTAGCCTACAACAACATCACCATAACTATTTCTATAACGGGCTACAAACAATTCAAAAACAGCTAACTGATATTAAAATATGTCTGGGTTTTTTTGCTATAGCGATAACCATTATCAATTACAATACTTCGTTTTGTATTTTTCTTAAAAATTACATGCTAAAACACAAATAAGCATCGAACAGGTCTGACACTTACCCATTTTTAACAGAATTTACAGACGCTGGCTCATCAAATACGCAACAAGTCTGTCTCGTCCGGGAATATAATCTATTTACAAAACAAAAACATAAACATAGCGAATGGGAACTGCGAGTTTTAAAGGACAATCCGTTCTTTAGTTGTCTAGTCGTCCTAATCTGTCAGTCACTGTAGCCTAATTGGTCACCTTAGTGGCTTGTTAAAACCAATAATGGAATATGTCCCAAAAAAAAACACTACAGAAAAACGTTTTAATGGTTAAAGGTTGATGGTTTGTAATGTTAGGCCGATTTTTAGTGGAAACCATTAGAAATTTCTGTGATGGTTCTATTGTTTGTTTGTTTTTCAGCAGGGAATATAGTAAATATCAAACAAATTAATAATTAATTTAATAAATAGCGGTGCTATCTTAATTTGTTTTCAATCTTTGTTTTAGTTTCACCAGAAAATCAGACAGACAGCATGTTTTAAGGAGACTGTGAAACACCAATGTATAGTGGATTTTGGTCTGATCGAAGACTGGTGATAATATCTTGACAAAAATTGACACAAAAAGCCAATATCACATACATATATGCAGAGGCGGACAGTAACTAAGTACATTTACTTGAGTATTGTACTTAAGTGTCAGAACTGTGTGAGATCACTGCCATACTGCTTTTGTGGGGGTGGGTAGGGGTGTTAATTTTTTCCCCCCATAGGTTTTTAACATTCTAAAAGCTCTTTATTCCAAAGATACTACAAGCTAGTCAGTGTATTCAGCAGGTGTAATGTATTCTAAGTTGCTTCAGAAGTATTGTAAGTATTACAAACAACAATAATAAAACAGTGCATTGACATAAAAAGGGAAATTTACTTTTGGTACTTAAGTACTTTTAAAAGCAAGTACTTCTGTACTTTTACTTAAGTAAAAATCTGTCTTTACAACTTTTACTTGTAATGGAGTAGTATTTGACCAGCAGTATCTGTACTTTCACTCAAGTTAATGGAGTTGAGTACTTTGTCCGCCTCTGCATATATGTAGCTACATACTGAAAGGTTTGTGCTAATGCCTCTATCC